TAAACTCAGCATAGTCATTAACCATCATCTGAAGATGTATGCCGAAACTTTTCGTCATCGTGACGTCATCAGGGGTCACGTGACATCTATTTATAGATTCAATTTTTACAGCCTTATAACTATAGAACTATTTGACCAATTGATCTCAAATTTGGTAGTTATACAGACAGGGAAGTGTTATAAATGAAAATTGATATGTCAAGGTCACGTGACCTTCACTTCCGGTTTTACCGGAAGTGGTTATTTTAGACCCCTATATCATATCTCATGAATTATTAATCTGATTGGGTTGAAACTTCACATTGATACAAAGCTATATTGACAGATAATTATATTGCATTATTATTTATACTCTGCACTTAATTATTGTCATGTTATGACGTCATGAATATTTAATGAGGCAATCTTTACAGTCCTATAACTATAGAACCATTTGACCGATTGATCTCAAACCTGGCAGGTATACAGACTGGGAAGTGTTACAGATAAATATTGGTATATCCGGGTCATGTGACCTCTACTTCCGGTGTTACCGGAAGTGTTAAATTAAGACCCTAATTATCATATCTAATGAATTAGAAATTTAATTGGGTTGACACCTTATATTAGTATTAAGCAACATTAAAGGATAAATATGTAGCATTATTATTAATGGGCAGTTTAATGTTTTCATGTTATGACGTCATGAATATTTAATGAGGCAATCTTTATAGTCCTTTAACTATAAAACTATTCGACCGATTGATCTCAAACTTGGTAAATATATAGACAGGGAAGGGTTATAAATGAAAATGTATATGTCAAGGTCTCGTGACCTTTACTTCCGGTTTTTACCGGAAGTGCAATTATGTAAGATAATAATTTCAATTTTAAAAGTTAGAGATTTTTGCAAAAATCATTACATTATTTTCTATTATCCAATAGACAATCAAAAACAAGTTGGGAACAGCTCTGTGGTTGTTCAGTTACAACCACATCTAGTTTTATATTATTTTCCTCTTTTGTGGTTAAGTTTATTTATTCATTTATTTATGTCTGAAATAATGTTGGTTTTCAGGCCTATTTTTCCGGTTGCTTATCATTTATTATTACTCGTATTTATTTTGTTATTGATACTTTTGTTGTTGCTTTTCTTGTTCATTGGATGGATATTTTTTTTTGACGTAGTTTTTCTCGCATGTCGACTGTATTTTTTACTTTTCTCTATCAGGTTTTTATTGCTTATTATTTATTTTTTATTTCATTTTAAATTATTTTGTTTACTGTATCAATCTTTCGTTCTGTGTTTTTATGTTGTAGTGTGGTTGTTGTTGTCTTGTCTTGTCTTGTTTGTTTGTTTGTTTTTTGTTTTGTTTCGTCTTGTCTTGTCTTGTTTTGTTTTGTCTTGTCTTGTCTCTTGTCTTGTCTCTTGTCTTGACTTGTTTTGTTACATTTTGTTAAGTCTTATCCTGTCTTGTTTTGTTTCTTTGTTTGTTGGGGTGTTTGTTTGTTTGTTAGTTTTGTTCTGGCTTGTTTGTCTGTTTTTCCACAGTCTTGTATAATCTGCAGTTGTTAGGTTTTTATGCCAGCTATTCTTGCCTTTGAGAAAACTGTTGTAACTGTAATCTTTTAAATCTAATTATCTTTTTAAGTATTATTTTTAAGGCGGTCTTATTTTTCATTGAATTTTATACCTAATTTTTAATATATTTTGTATGTTACATGTACCATTCAAGTTAGGATTGACAGGCTTTCGAGTCACAGTGTTTTATTATACTTTTGTCAATCCTGGCCAGCTTGGATTGGATTGTTTTTGTTTAGTTTTTTGTTTACTTTTGTGAATTGCTTGTTGTACCTTGTAATTTGGCCGAATAAATAATAATAATAATAATAAGCTGAACATCAGCTGCATCTTTGATAAACTTGACGGCCGACAAGAACATACTGTGACTGCCCTTGAAGCCATCTTGTCTGCCTGAAAGAAAAGGGAAGAATTTGGTAACTGCTCAATAAATTGCTCTTGCAAGCACCCGCAAGTTGTACTTTTATCCACTCAAAATGGTATGGATTTGTGGATACCTCCCTTACACTCTGCCACACATTGGTCAACTGCGCAAACATTAGCTGATTTTGCAAGGTAGGCCTATGGTCGATGGAGTAGGATCCTAGGCCTTTGGCAATATAAGTGATCATCCAGGACAATCAACCAGATTTTACAAGTGGGATCAACCAAAACAATAGACTATCACGGATAGTTTGTATGGCCGGCCGCGCAGCATGCCCGACAACACGATGTCATGAACTGTACAATGCATATTCATAACCTTGCCCAAGCACGCCCGCATAAATGCATACATAAACAACAGCAAAACCAGTCCGCCATTTTGAAATCCCATGGAGGAACATTTGTGAGATGATATTTGTGGGAGCTGAAGACTGGGCGATCAGGTATCTACGGGCCCGGTTCCTATAAGGGAACAAAATCCACTTTTTAATTAGGCAGTGTATATTTTGCCGGAGACGGCAAACCTTTAGTAAACGTTAGTTTGCCGGATATGCACTGAACATGCGCAGTTACTGTTTTTTTGTACTTCCAACATTTTTCGGTGACAAGTTTTAGTCTGGCTCCATGCCAAAATTATTGTTGTTACCTCGTATTCACAAGATGGGATTCAGACCATTTTATAATTTCGGACTTTATTTCCCTTTAAAAAAAATTCCTCCAGAGCCACAAATCTGAAAAAGAAAATGTAATACTCTGCAAAAAATGTTTGAGACATGTTAAAATAATAAAAGAAGAATATTCTTATTTATTTGGGGATGAGAATAAAAAACTTTAAAATGTGCTGCGGTCGGAATCGAACGCGAGTCATCCCGCTTACTAGAGCCTTTGCTTAACCATTACACCAAACGTGCTACACACAACCTTTGGTGGGAATTTAATACATCTTATAATTCAGCCCTATTTTAAAGAGTACAGCGCCCTCTGTTGATATGGATTGCCGCCGGCAAATGGTTAGTAATCGTTAGTTTGCCGTCATTACCTCCGGCAAAATATCCACTATCTTTTAATTATTTGACCCACCAAACTACATGTAGTTGAAGACATTAAGAACATGCAGGTATGTCATAGGTAAAGGGCAGGGTTTTGATTTTTTTCAAGGGAAATCTGGCGGTAAAATGACAATGACAATGACAAATCGCAACACGAAAATAAATATGGCGATCGCCTTGCAATGTACATGATGAACAGTCTGATGCTCCAGTGAACGTGCAAGACGTATGTGCACACAGGCCCGACAAAAAAGATGTCGCCGTGCACCGACAGCCAAATTAACCAATCCCAGTGTACAGTCCCGGCAATAATTCCTCATCATCCGTTTAATTAAGTACTTTCACATTAGCTGGAGTTACCCAGCCCTGAGTTTTATCATTGGGTTGTCATCTAGGGCTGGAGCGTATTTTTCTCGTAACTTGTAGTATATTCAAAAATTTTTGGAAAATGTTAAATTTTGTCCCCGTTACACACTAATTGCAACTGCAACTCACCCCAAACTTGCCTGGAATAACCATTACACAGGTCCTTGAAGTAAAAAACGATCCACGATGAAGATTCAGCCTACAATTGCAGTGAAAACAGGAGGAATAACCGCTAACTTGACAACCTTGCTGGATTGGCCAGGACCGCAATTGGTTTGTGCACAAAAAAAATTGTGTACAATGAATGGCGGTCGATTAACAGGCACAGAGAGCGATCGCTGTCAACTACTCGGTTTTGCCGGCTGCGCTGGCGGTTAGCGCATGACGTCACGCGGAAGCGTATGACCCGATGACTGTTTCATGCACTATTGGTTGCGGTTCCAGTACCAAAGCTGTGATCCGAGTGGTAAACCTTATACTAGTGCATGAAACAGTCATCGGGTCATACGCTTCCGCGTGACGTCATGCGCCAACAGCCAGCGCAGCCGAGTAGTTGACAGCGATCGCTCTCTGTGCCTGTTAATCGACCGCCATTCATTGTACACAATTTTTTTGTGCACAAACCAATTGCGGTCCTGGCCAATCCAGCAAGGTTGTCAAGTTAGCGGTTATTCCTCCTGTTTTCACTGCAATTGTAGGCTGAATCTTCATCGTGGATCGTTTTTTACTTCAAGGACCTGTGTAATGGTTATTCCAGGCAAGTTTGGGGTGAGTTGCAGTTGCAATTAGTGTGTAACGGGGACAAAATTTAACATTTTCCAAAAATTTTTGAATATACTACAAGTTACGAGAAAAATACGCTCCAGCCCTAGATGACAACCCAATGATAAAACTCAGGGCTGGGTAACTCCAGCTACTTTCACATTTAAATTTTTTTTTTTTTTTTCGAAAATGGGCATGCAGTTATTGAAGCCAGGGATACGAGTTGACTTGAGTACTAAGAGTTGACTCAGGTACTTGACTCGGGTATGACTTGACTCGGATACCACTTGACCCATTTCCAGGGAACCAGACTGTCGACTGCCGTAACGATAGCCAATTTATCACGAATTAGACGCTGCAACAAAAATAGGTGAATTTTCACACAAATTTTGACCGGTAAACCATCACCACTATCATGCACAACTTTGGATCAAAACCGTGACTGTGACCTTTGTTAGGGTGTTCACTCCCTTGGCGATTCAGATGCTTTTTTAATTTGCCACTTTATTGCATTTAACTAGTAAACAAACCTTTCAACGCGAGGCAGGCAACAGGACATGACAGCAGGAGGACCCCCAGCAGGAGAAATGGAGAACGTTTGACAGTTTTGAAAAGTGCGCCCTCACTGCTCGCCCAAAAATTGGCCATGTATCCAACCCACCGCTAATGGTAAAATACATATTTTTTATGGGACGACAATCTTAGGTACCAGTCTACAGCAATTTTAGTCAGGTCCTTAGTCTTGCTTGTGCATGAAATTTAAATGGAAGAGCAAAGGGTGTCATACTTTATTTCGGGTTTTATTTGTGCAGGTCGTTTGGGCGAATTTGGGTAAGGACACGTACGATTAAAGGAAGGGGTTTAGTTAACTTAACTTCCTAAAATCTTCATGAAGCATTCGATAATTTAATGATATGTGTGTACATTGTGTTAATTTAAGATAGAGAGAATCTCAAATAAGATACGCAACGTCAATTTCTGTTATCTCAGTCGGGTAATTTCAATTTCAAACGAGTCGACAATTTTTGTTCATGAACACAGTCAGCTGGTCAGTGCAGTGGCAATCGTGGCAATACATTACATTCTATGGCATTCAACATAGTTACCAAGCATGCCAAGACGCGGGGGCGGGGAAAAGGAAGAGTCTGTTGTCTGGTAACTGTTTTTGTTTGTGTAACTGTGATGGGTGTGGTTTTTGAAAACCAGAGAAAGAATGTAGTATCCAGATGCCACTTCTTCGATTGTGTACAGAGAGAGTCGAGTGCATTTTCAACTCAAGTATTTTCTAATTTGGAAATTGGAAAGAATCTTTTTGTAGGGAAAGAATGTTGCAACCTGACGCTACTTTGGCGGTTGTTTACAAAGTCTGTGGAGACTCAAGAATTTTTTAAAAGTATTTCCTAACAAAATTGGAAATGTTTCTTAGTCCCACTCCCAGATTCATGTCTTAATTCTTATCATCATTTCTGCAATGACTGACCTTCATGGAGATGATATGAAGAAAAACGTGGCATCAGGTTGCAACATTTTTTTAAATGTAGCCCCATAAATGTTGCAAATTTACTACGTAAATAAAGGCCACACTTGGAACATGTACTCGAAAATGTAGACCTTTGTCAAATTTAGATTTTTACATTTTGACTGACTTTGTAGTTTATTTACGCTTTAGAAGCACACTCACCCTCTGTATAGCGATGGAAAAGAAGTCCCGCCTTTCTCAGACGTCTATTTTTCGTGAAATTTTCAGTTTCGTTTGCACACGTTTGCGTATCTAAATTCCAACATTGAAAAGATCACGCGCGTGCTGGATTGTCGGTCACGTAGACTTGAGTCAAGGCGCACGTGGTACCCGCACATGAAAAAAGACCATGCCAGTGGCGGAGCTCGTTGGCTCCCTGCGCCACCACTGCACTCGCAAAAAAAGGCAAGTTGGGCAAAAAATTCTGCGGTCACGTGCTCTGTAACGATAAGTTACGCGATATGCCTGCAATAATAGAGCCGGCCAATCACGGTCGTGTCTAGGTTTTGTAGATCTATGCGCGCCCGGCCGTTGTTGTATTTCAAAAACGCTGCATCCGAATCGACCAATCACAGTTTGAGTCCTGATTAGGCCTCAGTCCCAGTCGGACAGAAATACACTGTTGGTGAAATTGTGTTTTTTCGATAAAGGAAATATACTTAGGACCCAGATTTCTGAAAAGAAAATGCATGCATTCATAAACCTAAGGTCCCCCTTTCTTGTTACTTTTCAATTACACCATTGTTCTTTTCCCCAATTTACTCAGGATTACATGAATTAGTTGCATTCATTCCAAGCACCGTGGTAACACCCTGTCAACCATGACTCTTCAGTGGACATTCGTCGCTGGGTTCCTCTACCTAGAGGCAGCTATCCTTCTCCTTCTCTTGTTGCCTTTCATCAAGCCGTACATGTGAGTCATTGGTAAACCAAGATCCCAAAGTGCAGGAAAAAAAACATGCATCGCATAGTCAGGCTGACATCTTAACTCACTCTTTTGTGGTTGAAAAAGTTCTCCAAAGATTCCATTAGGGAAAGATGAGGGTAGGACATAAAACTTTGGGACAAAAGTAATGGTGACTGAGCTGTCCAGCACTGAATCAAAGTCCAGTCCAGTCCTATCCTATCCGGTGCCGTCCTCTGACAGTGGTTGGGTGGCAGCCAACTTAGCCGTACGTCTCCAGGATTGGCGATCTTTGGCACATCGCACAGCTGTCAGTCCAGTCCAGTCCTGATGTTGTCTTCCCAGGTTGCGTTGGGTCGGCCTCTTGATCTTTGTCCTCCCCTTTGCCTTCTAGGGTTGTTGCTCCTAACTCCCTGGCACTTCCCTAGGCCAGATACCCAAATTAGTACAGCTTCCCCCGGTGGACAGAAACTAGGAGACGTTCTTTGGGCATAAAGTCCAGTCCAGCAGTGTTAAATATTGGCTCCTGCCCTTCACCCATATAACATCGGAGAGAGAATATTTCACACATTGCTCAGTTGGGACTCGAACCCACGACCTCCTGCTTACTAGCACAGACATCTTACCACTCGATTACCGAGCTTTGGGATTAAAATAATTTCACGTATGTAAGTGTCTTTTTGTTTGTTCATCCTTCAGGTGGCAGAAGATATTCAACTCTTCCATCCTGAAGACAATCAACTCATTTTCTTACATCTACTTCAATGTGTTTATCGGCGTCCTGGCCCTGCTGTTCTTTGGTGAGTTTGAAATTGATGTTTTTTAGACAGTTGCCTCAACAGGCAGACGTCAGACATGAAACCAAAAGAGTGACCTAGTTCAGGCATGCAACTTTTCCTCGGATCCGCTGATTTCCTTGTTTTTAATTCTCATGAATGCCATTACAAATTGAAAAACACTGTACAAAGTCTTTGTGTATTTTGGAGTTTCCTTCGTTTTTTCTAAATTCTCAGTTGCATACCTGCTAGTTGCTATGGCCGCCGAGTGTTAATAGTTTTTTTTTTTTTTTTTCCTGTTTGCAGATGCCATCCGAGATGTGCGGAAATACTCAGCAGCATGGGATGAGATTGACATTTCCGTTCCAGGGGCGGAGACGCAGCTCAACATGAAGCTGTTCCGATCCCAGAGGAACCTCTACATCGCCGGGTTTGCCCTCTTCCTCTGGCTGTGAGTCACTCTCAATGATCCTTTAAATTATTTTAAGATGGAATTTTTTTTTTTTTTGCGCCGGGGTGATATAAATCAAATTAGGTTTTGCCCTTCACCGACGTAGTAGTAGATCCTTTAAATGTTAACATTCCCCTTATGTAATTCCCTTACTTCATATGGGCACATCCCTCCTGTCCTCCATGCACTTCACTGGCTTCCTGTACATCAGCAAATTCTCTTCAAGATCTGGGTCCTAGTCTTCGGCTCGCTCCATGGCACATCACCCACCTACCTCCAAGAGCTGCTACAACGCCATGATCCACACCGATGCCTTCGTTCCTCCGACACAGATCTTCTTCGAGTACCCCGCTCCCATCAATCCCGGGGAGACCAATCTTTCTCCCGGTTTGGTCCTTCCCTGTGGAATTCACTGCCAATCCACCCGAGAAAGGCGTCTTCTTACCTCTCATTCAGTAATGAACTCTCTTTCAGTAGGATGTATCGCCTTGGTTAATTTGTGTAGGTTTGCACTCAGATGACAGCAAAGCAAGAGGGATATTTTCTGCGCCAGGAGTGTCACTTTGTGACAGACATGGCCCATTACAAGTCTCCTTTATTATTACTATTATTATATTGGCTGATCTGTTACCAAGGGGAGGTAGTAAACTTTAACCCTAACTCCCTAGGCCTTTTTGCTAGGATGTAGCCTCAATCCTACAAAATCCTCTAATTGGCCTCATGGAAAAATAGCATATACCCTCAATCCTGCAAATTCCTCCGTTGTTTCTTGAATATGGTCCATGGAGGGGTGACCACTGCCTGAATCCTGCAAAATCCTCCCGCTATGACTGTCAATAGGCTGAGGCAGAGGCAGTGACATCCTGGAGCAGTGCGGAGGATGTCAAGTATAATCAAGGACTAAATTTATGCACGGCTGAGCATAAACAACACAAGGTCCGGCCCAAGACCTTGACACAGTGCGTACTCCGAAATCAGCAACGCACTTTGGCCATGTAACCTCAATCCTGCAAATTCCTCCAATTTGCAAACAGGATTTTGGAGGATTCAGGGCGGTTAGAGTTAAGAAAAAAAAGGAAACAAATTTATGATTATCATAAGCTTACTTCATCATGCTTAACCTATTTGTTGCTTTAGCGTGCTCCAGAGGGTCTGCACCTTGATCTCAACCGAAGCCAGACTACAGGCCTCCAACGAGGCCTCCATCAAGCAGGCCCAGGGGGCATCGGACCACGCCCAGAAACTCATGGCGGAACTGAAAGAACTCAAAGAGGCCAAAAAGGTCAGTAAAGATGAGTAGATTAAAGGGCAAGGAGACTAGAACTTCAATTTACACTAACTCCATGAGCATGTTGTCCAAAAGAACATTTCTGTATCCTCTGACATCTATAAGTGTACATGAAGCCAGTGACATATTTACTTCATACTTTTATCTTTCAAAGGATATCAAGCTACACGTATATACAAATATTGAGTGGCTCAGAGTGGAATGGGAGGAATATTATCGCAAGGTAAAATCTGGACAGTCCAGATTTTACCGAGCGATAATATTCCTCCCATTTCACAATTCAAAGCCACTCAATATTTGTTTTATATAACTGACATATAGATCCTTGTAATTTGATTTACAGTTAAAAATGAACTTCTATTTCAATACAAAATTGGTGGAAAATGTATTTCTCTCTTCCAAACCACCCCTTCACGAAATGTTTGAACCCAACTCTGTAGCCACTGGCTCTTGGGAATAATACGCGCTATGCTCAACGCGCACACCAGCATGCATTTGCACACAAATACCGCGTCATGGAACAAGGATGATCCCAACTGTTGAATAGTATGTCCCATTCCCCATGGGCTAATGGGACTTTTTGAGCCCCTGCGTAAATGGGAGCAATAACGAATGTCACGTGATGTGAGTTCCACCAATCAAATGACAAGGATCTGTATGTCAGTTATATAATAGTGGCTGGACTCTTCCTTCCATAATTTTCCAAACTGTTGGACATTTACATGCATATTGGATCATTTGCTTTTCATGCATTTTGTTTGTAACCAATAATAACACCACTCAGAATCCAAAGAAGACTGTTCAAAACCTAACCTGTTGAAGTTTCAGCTCAGTGGATATTACACTTTGAGAAAACAGTGAAAAACCATGCACAACCTTTTCATCACGAAACACGATTTTGTTAATAGTACTTTTATTTCCAAAAATCAGTCAGTTGACAGATCGTTGGAAATAACCCACATTTATTGAAAAATTTCACAGGGTGTTTAGTTAGTATACTGGTACGATCTTGAATCCAAGTACGATTTTTGAAAATAATTTGGTTGATTACTTCTTGGATTAATGCAAATGATTACTGCAAATGATTATTGCAAATGATTTGCCTTCGGTTGACTGATCGTTGGAAATCACCTACATTTCTTAATTTCTACATTTCTTGATGGAATAATTTCACAGGGTGTTAAATTAGTATACCGGTATGATCTTGAATCCAAATAAGATTTTTGAAAATAATTTGGTTGGTTACTTCTGGGATTAATGCAAATAATCCTTTATGCCTTCAAGGACATGGAATGATTAGGGTTTCAGAAGTTGATTCTTTGCATGTCGGCTGAAGGGGATCAAGTCTAGTCCCATGCAAAGTATTGGTAGCTAGGCACTTTCCTTCTCAGCTTCAATCCTGCAAAATCCTCCAGAATGCTCTTGGTAGACTTTGAAAGATCTAGGAGGCTAGGGGCAATTCCAGGGTTACTCATGTTACATTTTTGATGCACTTTTGAGTTTCCTTGGGCTGTAATTACCTTACTGAAAAGGTTTAAAAACTGCTATCCCCATGGTAGATAGAGTAGACCTAGACCTACCTAAGCACCAAAGATGACATACAGAAAAATGTGTTATGTATGATAAACAAGACGCACAAAATCGGTTACTCACGTTACATTTTCATAACGTGAGTAACCGATTTTGTGCATCTTATTTATCATACATAACACATTTTTCTGGATGTCATCTTTGGTGCTTAGGTAGGTCTAGGTCTACTATATCTACCATGGGGATACAGCCCAAAGAAACTCAAAAGTGCATCAAAAATGTAACTAACGTAACCATGGAATTGCCCCTAGGGCAAAGTCTCACAATGTAAGTTTTACTGCCAATACGGAGGGGGCCAAATTCTTAACAAGACAAAGGGATCCACCAATAGTTTATGCACATTTTTCAGAAAATTTATAAGACGTTAATGTGTTCGCATCAGTTTTTCTCCTTGGAGATTGCCCGGAAGCAGTTACCTGTGCAGCGTCTTGTGAGACACAGAAAACGTGTAAACCTTTGCTGACTTGGTTTTCACAGGGAGATGGTTCCTCGGTGGATGAGATTCCAGATAACGAGACCAACGAGGAGTTGATAAAATGCAAGGAGGAGCTGGAAGCGGCCAAGAAGGAGCTACAGCAGAGCAAGACAGACCTGACATCCATCAAGAAGCAGGCCGAGGGAGTCAATATGGAGTACGACCGCCTCCTCAAGGAACATGCCAGGCTGCAGGTAGGAGCAGATCAAGGGGCAAGGATCGAGGACTGTTGGTTGACTAGAGTAGCTTAGGGCCCGTCTCAATTCATATTCGGGACGAGTTCTGGACAAGTTGCCGGTAGAATCACTTTGTTCGGAAGAAGCTTGGCATTTGTTCAAAGATACAACCGACACTTGAACGTCATTCCTGGCTTGCATGCCAATCATGTCCACAACTAGTGGGTAGACTTCTGTACTCATATACGAAGGACTTTTATGTTTAGTTTTAAAGGGCCCATGAAATGTAATTTTTCTTTAATGCAATGCACCTTTGTATCCCTTTACCTTATTTTCAATTTTCATTTTGCCATTTTCAAGGGTATTTTGGTGCCTTTTTGGTTTTTATGCTAATGGAATTTCCATATTCATGAGCAAAAGTGTGATGTCATATCAGGCAGAAATCTCAATGTTGCAATATTAGTTTATGCACAAAAAGTTGCCAAACTTTTGGATATATTTCGCTGTCGTAAACTATCTGTTCATTAGTGATTCATTGTTGTGTCAGTTCATGGCAGTAGGCCAATGAGCAAACTTTTCTCACAAATGTTTTCAATGAGCATTTTTTGGGGTTCACTATTTCAACAGAAAAACAACTAATATGAACAGTGTCTCCCTGAAATGGTGTCACGACAACGGCGCCCTCAGTTGCCCAGAAAAGCATGGAAAATGTGAAATGTTTAAAAAAGTGCACTTTTTAACAAAATTAACCAAAAAAGGAATATCAATTAGTTTTCATACACTTAAGGGGATTAGAAAGTAGCACAAAATATGTTCCTCAGAAATATTCACTTCATGAGCCCTTTGGGTGATTTTGAACACAGCACATTGATGTTGAGGGACTTGGGAGCTTGCTAAATATAAAATCTTGCATCTTTTCTTTTTCTCTTCCTCTTTGTGTTTTCAGCAAACTGTGGAGGAGGAAAACAACAAGAAAGATAGCTAGACAGTCTCATCAGTGATTTCGACAGAGTTGCTCACTGCGGTCAATTCCATATCTGTGCTATGGTGGGGTTAACATGGTGCTAGCCACTTTCTCCTTTCATTTCACTGGAATAAACGAAGTTGGCTTGCACCATGTGTGCAGAAAGTTGTGAGCCATTTCACTATTCATACCAGATATTTGCGCAGACCAAGTTTTACGTTTTAGTTCCCACGGGTAATAGTGCTAATCTGTGACAAGCAGGACCCAGTTTAATAGAGCTGTTTAGCAGAAAGTATAACTTTAATGAATAAACTTTTATGAGGGCAGTGGTAAGAATAATTTCATTAGGTGACAGATGGAGTGTTCCATGTCACCGAGTGAAATAATTATTTCCATTGCACGAATGTGAAACATTCATTATTATTTGTGATTTATATGCCTGAATAAAGCCTCATCATCAGAGCCATGTTGTAGTGTGACCAATAGTGTGACCATGCAATGGAACTTTTATTTACTGTTGAATGGAACTGCTATTTTTGCGGTTCTTAAGAGTCCGTAGAATGTGTGAGCTTGAGTTCAATGTTAATATAATGATTCTGGGAACTGCCTGGTTTTGCCATAGGGCATCACAGTTGTAAGTTTTGTTTTTATTTGGATAATCAACTCTAACCCTGCTGCAAGTAATTTGTCGAGACCCTGCCTGATGCGATAAGTTCCAACTCGGCCCAATTGCATGGCTCTGTTTAACAGTTAGCAGAAAAGTTGTGCAAACTATAGCAGAAATTGATGTGCTAACTCTGTTTAATGGTTAGCAGAAAAGTTGTGCAAACTATAGCAGAAATTGATGTGCTAACTCTGTTTAACGGTTAGCAGAAAAGTTGTTCAAACTGTAGCAGAAATTGTGCTAACCTTAAGCACTATTTCGGTGTGGATGTGCTAACTCTGTTTAACGGTTAGCAGAAAAGTTGTGCAAACTATAGCAGAAATTGATGTGCTAACTCTGTTTAACGGCTAGCAGAATAGTTGTGCAAACTGTAGCAGAAATTGTGCTAACCTTAAGCACTATTACGGTTGGGATGTGCTAACTCTGTTCAACGGTTAGCAGAAAAGTTGTGCAAACTATAGCAGAAATGGTGCTAACGTTAAGCACTATTTCGGCTGAATGTGCTAACTGTTGCGCACGCATGGAGATTTCATTGTAGTGTCACCAAATTTAAGCAGCATTTCCTCTGGGGTTACGTGTGCTTACTGCTTACAATCTCCATGAAATAAACAGAGGCTCTGTTAGCAGAAATTGTGTGCTTAGCAGCATTACACATTTGGGCCCAGATATTAAAGTGTAAATGCCCGCCGAGTCCATCGGCCGATCTGGGTTTTTTTTCACAGCTCCAATCAATAAAATCCAACAGAAAGTTGCTGCTGTTTGATACCGTTGGTATCAGCAGGGCTGGCTTCAATGGAAAACCTGTAACACTTAAATCTGTACTCATATTTACAAACCCCTATGCCCACCGTCAGTCTCAACAATTTGTATTTTTAATGTTAAAAGAACATTTGTCCACTCGATATCAAGAAAAGGTAAAGAAATAGTAAGCAGTAGGATTTTTGGTCGTCGTCTTATTTTGTTTGTAATGCAATTTTCTTTGTTTGATTGCTCTGCTTTTAAAACTAATTTATATTATTGGTTTATAATTGGAATATCCTGAACACCTTTTGGCTCTATAGTGGAGAAGGTTGCTTTTGTTTTTAAATAATTCAAGTTGCACTCATTTTGAGAGATTATCTTTAATTGGATTGGTTAATTTAAAAATAATGTTCAGAATTGAGCATTGTTGATTAGTAGAATAGTTGCATGAGGTTCCGCAGCAACAACCACTCCATCAGACATGGCACAGCTAGATCTTCTTAAAATAGAGTCTTAAAACAGAGGCATAATGTTAATCTTAAGAAAATTAAGCAAAACAAAAAAGAAGGTAATTTTATTAACAGCTTTAATCTAAAAATGTAACCCGTTAATATTATTTCTACACTTATTAAAAAAACTAATTTTACTGTTGCCTCTGCTGTGGCATTATTTAAGTAGAGAGAATATTTCTTTAATGACACCGTGAACTGCTATGGTACAAATGAAGACTATGGGTTTGTGAATAACATGCATGTATATACATTAGGTTTGCTAGAGAAGTGAATAACATTTTTTTTCAATTCTAATAAAACGGCTAAGCTCTGAAAATGTTATATTACTTGAATATTTCCTAAACGTTTCTGCCTTGTTTTTGCTTGTTTTTGAGGGGGGGGGTGTTAAAATATAAAATTGCTGAACACTTTGAGACAATTTACACTCATGCTTCATTGTACAAATTTACACAAACGGAATCACCTCATGCGCAATTTGTTTCGAGTGTAATGAAATTTCCGAACCTTTGCCTTCAACTTTGGTATGGGCTCCGTGCGTGCACAACTACCCCCTCAATGGTAAGAAAGGGAGAGTTGGGGGAGACCACTGCACTATGACAGACATTCGACTGCATTGCCGACAACACCTGATGCTCGCGCAAAGACACTATGGCTTTGTGCACATTTACACAAAAAAGAAGTTGTGCGTACTTATGTGCGCGAACCAGTACGAGCACGAGATTCTCGAAAGTGGAAAACAAAAAGCGCCCCCTCTTGTTTGTGTATGGAGCCCATAACAAATGCTACAGCTTTCTCACCACTGAGGGCGCTCTTCACTGAAGCTAGAGTCACAGAACATACCTTGTTGGATAGATCCTTTACATTCACAAGCCAGCTTTGAGGTGTCTTGTTAATTGCATTCAGTTGCATTCAATGCACAAAAAGAGCTACGCATGGGTATCCCTGTAAAAACAAAACCCTTCACCTCAAGATGGCTGCAATGCAAAGAGTCTATTGGTATGCTCAGTGAATGTACAGATACAAAATATCTGGGTGCACAGCTGCAAGGCTAGCTAGTCTGTCTGTTGCCACCTATTGACAAATAAGCTTGCTGACTGGCTGGATGGCTGGTTTGCTGGCTTGCTTGCTTGCCCACTGATCATGCTAGTTGGTTAGCTGTCTGGCTGGACAGTTGTCTGGCTGGCAAGCTGTCTCCCCGGCTAGCTAGCTGTCTGGCTGGGTGGCTAGCTGTCTGGCTGGCTAGCTCCCCGTCTGGCTGGCTAGCTGTCTGGTGGCTGGCTGGCTAGCTGTCTCCCCGGCTAGCTAGCTGTCTGGCTGGGTGGCTAGCTGTCTGGCTGGCTAGCTCCCCGTCTGGCTGGCTAGCTGTCTGGTGGCTGGCTGGCTAGCTGTCTCCCCGGCTAGCTAGCTGTCTGGCTGGGTGGCTAGCTGTCTGGCTGGATGGCTAGCCGGCTTGCCGGCTTGCCCACTGGTCATGCTGGTTGGCTGGTTTGCTTGCATGCTGGCTGGCTTGCCCGCTGGTTGGCTGGCTGACTAGCTGTCTGGCTGGCTGGCTAGCTCCCCAGCAGGCTGGCTGGCTCGGGCTTACTGGCCTTTTTGCTGGCTGGCTGGCCTTTTTGCTTGCTGGCTGGCTCCCCTGCTTGCTGGCTTGCTCCTCTGCTTGCTAGCAGGCAGGCAGGTAGGGAGGCAGGCTGGCTGGCTGGCTCCCTCCCCATCTCCCCGGCTGGCTGGCTGGATTGCATGCTGGAATGCTGACCGATCATATTACATAAATTCTGCCTGTAATGGGATGGAGGAATAAGTCCAAATGTATTAAATAACAATTTATGCATTTTAGTGAAATATCCTTTTTATGTCTCATCGAAGGAAATAAAATTGCTGGGCAATATTGAGATGTTTTACAGACAAGTAAACAACGCACCACTTTTTAGGAGAACAAAAAATAGTAATACATTTACCCTTCAAAACGATTCATAAAACTTGAATAGATGTAACGGTAGAGAACAACCTTTTTTTATTGGGATTGTTACACAAAGCTACAACAGCTACTTGATATTGTTACAACTGGTTTTATGCAAAAACAGACAGATGTTAACTACTGTTTGCAAATCACGGGCTGAACAAGATAATATATTTGATAAAGTTCGCTAAAAGCTAGCTGACCATTTATTACCCCACTTAATAAGGTATTTATTATAGAGATAGTGAATGCGAGCTAGCAAGATAAAATATTCCAAAGCCCATCGGTGGTTAAAGGGAATATACATCATTTGCTTTTGCTGTAATTTTCAGAAATGGATGGAATCGGGGGGTTGGAAATATATAGCAAATAAAGTTACAATTATTTTTTTGAGGTTTTGGGTTCGAAAATGCTATAAAAACCAAGAAAAACAATCAGTTTCCTGTAGTCAGGTTCCCTGACTCCATTTTAAAAGAAACAGAGCAGTTTACATATATTGGGGAATTGTAAGGTCAGGGAACCAGTCTAGCTGGCTTGTACCCGTTCATAGGTGTGTAATCGATTGCAAACAAGTGCGATGGTCAACTGGGGCCAGTATTTGAAAAAAAAAGCCAGTTTTTTCCAACGCTGATCGGCCGATCAGCGTTGGAAATTCATACTAAAATACCACTTTTCTTGAAAATGACAGTATACCAGAGGCCATGATTTTACAGGATGCTTTAGACTGTCATTCACTAACAGTCCAGCAAGGTATTTCAAAATGATTTGGTAGTTTTATTTTTTAATGTTTGCAAATGTTGTATTTTCCCTTTAAGTTTTTTTTTTTTAAGTATAAGAAGATTTGGAACCTGCCAATCAACATATGCCATGCTTAAAGGGAATATACATCATTTGCTTTTGCTGTAACTTTCAGAAATGGATGGAATGGGGGGGGGGGGGGGGTGGAAATATATAGCAAATATAGTTACACTGACTTTTTTGAGGTTTTGGGTTCGAAAATGCTATAAAAGCCAAGAAAAACAATCATTTTCCTGTAGTCTGGTTCCCTGACTCCATATAAGAAGAAACAGAGCAGTTTACATACAATGGGGAATTTTAAGGTCAGGGAACCAGTCTAGCTGGCTCGTACCCGTTCATAGGTGTGTAATCGATTGCAAACAAGTGCGATGGTCAATTGGGGCCAGTATTTGAAAAAAAAGCCAGTGTTTTCCAATGCTGGAAATTGATACAAAAATACAACTTTTCTTGAAAATGACAGTATACCAGGTGCCATGATTTTACAGGTGCTTTACACTGTCATTCACTAACAGTCCAGCAAGGTATTTCAAAATGATTTGGTATTTTTATTGTTTGATGTTTGCAAATGTTGTATTTTCCCTTTAATGTTCCAAGCTAATATAGTTTTTGAGAGACATACATTTAATTTTCACATGCAATTTTTTTATTTTGAAAAATAATTATGAATGTAAGGATGCCTTCACTCCTCGAAAAGATACGGTTACAGGAAATATATCCTGAAGACAGAATTAAACATACATGTTCATTATTGTGCTGATATTGTTTATAATTGTACCATGTGAATTTATTGTGTAATGTGCATAGTAAATGTTGTATTGGGTTCAGATGCCAGTCATGTAGCCAGGGGGGACACCAGGGGGGGACGTCCAGGGGAGGGGGGGGGGGGAGTTGTCGAACGAGCCTTGAACAAGCTGAAAAAAAGTAGTGGATATGATACAGTTTTATATCATGTACTAATCAAACTGTTCTCTCCACACTACAGGTACCTACAATTTTGTTTTGCTCTGTCCCTTCAAAAGGCATGAGCAACTCCATTTGACTTGTACTTTTTGTCTTCGTGTTCCTCCACTGATTTATTGTATTAACCATTTATTCTCTCCCTTTCTACAGATATGAGTGACACCATTTGCACTTTCCAACAGCTCAGGAAGGCAAAGGAAAAGGCCTTACGCTTTTCCTACCATCAGGATAACTACATTTTTTACTCCCTCTCTCGATTTATCCCCAAAGGTTTGCAACTGTCTCACACTCCCTGCTTAGGAAACCTCCCACCACACCTTCAAAGGAGATGGAATCAAGTTCTACATGGTGCCTCTATTAAACTCATCAATATTCTCTCTCAGCAGTGTCAATTTTCATGTGAGGACCTCCATCAGAATATTTCCCACCTTGACTCCCAACTCAAATCCAGTTGTTCTGACTCCACGTACAGGAATTTCCATGATGAGATTGAAAGGGGTTTGTCTAACCTTGACTCTGTCCTACTCAACAGGAGAAACAAGAAGATTGGTGGCTTGCTTGCCAAGCAACAGCAACGCAGACACAGACGTTTCAGACGTCCTAGGTCCCCATCTACCACGCCACCGCCAGAACCCCCTGTCAACACTGTAGTTAATCTTTCTTCCTCATCAATATCTGACGCAGAGCACAAACTTCTCTCCAAGGGTCTCAATTTTTGTCCCGCTCCCCGTTCTGTGAACCAGGTTCAGCTCAGCCAAGATCTCACGGAATACTACCGTAGAATCCGCCTGCGTGAGTTTTTCCTGGACAGTGAACCGTGTGAGCCAGAGCCTTTTCGAGTCAAGAGTTCATGGGTACCCCCCAAGAATCGTGTGCCAGCCATAGAGACATACGTTCAAGTTATCAATTCCCAAGTCACTAACCCGGACAACTTCCCCCACAGGACTCATGATAATCTCCCCAGAGAGGAGCGCCTGGCTCTCAACTCCTTGCGCTCTCGCACCGACATCATCATCAAGCCAGCAGATAAAGGTTCAGCTGTGGTCATCATGGATCGTCAGCAGTACATTGATGAGGCCCACCGCCAGTTGGATAATCGCACTAACTATACCCGCCTTGACTCTGACCCCACAGGCACTTTCTGTCAAGATATACAACAGGTACTTGACGATATGCGATCACGTGACCAGTTGTCGAAGAAAGCTCACAAATTTCTTTCTCCCTGTGATTGTAGGACTGCCAGATTTTACCTGCTACCCAAGATTCACAAGGCTGGCAACCCCGGTAGACCCATCATCTCCGGTAATGGCTCACCCACGGAACGCATCTCCCTGTTCATTGACAGTTTTCTCAAACCCCTTGTCCCACAGATTTCGTCATACATTCACGACACCCCAGACTTCCTACGCAAGCTTGAAGGAATCAAGGACCAGATTCCCAGCACAGCCATCATTGGGACTTTCGACGTCTCATCTCTGTACACCAACATCCCACATGAGGAGGGAGTTCGTGCTTGCTCCTTGGCTCTGGCCAAGGCAGGACACACGACTCCTCCCATCAGTGATGTTGGCACCCTCATGAGACTTATACTAACGAAGAACAATTTTTCCT